AGCCGTTTTTCTATCCGAGCAATAATTACGAAAAACACCTCTTAATACGAATTATTTCGATCGGTAATAACAGGACGGTCCAGGCCCCTCTTAAAAACTCAATTCAAAAAACTCACTTGTAAAAATTTAATTTGCGAACACGTATATATATTCATATACACGCATATTTCCGCACAAACATCCTGCAAACTGCTCTTACAACCTTATATATTTCGTTAAAATTCTCTTTGTTCCACGCGATACCGGCGGCGAGCCGGTGCTTTCGATCTGTCTCACGAAAATTTTACACAGTGGCGCAACAGACAAAAAAAAAACAATGCGGTTTCGAGACTCACCTTCGTAGTTGCTGTTTTCTCGCTCGCTTCTGATTGAATCAAACTCGCCTCCTCTACCTCGTCTGTTTCGATTAGGCCAATCTCGCCCTCATATGACCTCTCACTCTTGTTTTACTCGCACTTAGTGTTGCTCAAATTCGCATTCTAACTATTCGCTTTAGTTAAGTCTGATGTATCAGTTCTCTCGTCTCGCGATTTTTGCCACCTTATATACTCAGGTGACGACGAAAGGCTCAGGACGGCAGGGAAAGGATTTCGGTTGTGACGAAGGTGAGCGAGTATATTTGCAGCCGCTCTGTGCCACATTATATACATATAAACATCATATATGGATTACCTTGAAACGAGTTAATTTTGTCATATATATTTCTTTATACGAGAAAATAAATGTGTACATAAAGATTTAAAAAGTAGCATATTTTTGCTTTTTACTGTGTATTGTGCAGTATATTGTGCTAAAATTTATTATTTAATCACCTTTATAAAGATTGTATTGTGATGATTACTAGTAATTGTGGTGATTTTATCGTGATTATTGTCGATAGATTTATTTAATGTAATTTCTTTGCGTTATTTAGAGCATTATTAAAAAAAAATTATATTAAATAAAAACTATCGAAACTCACGATAAAGAGTCTCCACAATTACTAGTAATCACAATACAACATTTATAAAAGCTCTCAGATCTCGAATCTCTAATCTCAAATTTTAGTGTAGTTGCTAATCATGATATTTAGTTTTTCATGACTGAGGAAGAATATAGGGCCTTATACAATAAGATATTAGTAATCAATCAGAAGTCAGAAGCAAAAAATTGACCAATTACAGTAAAATCACTGAAAAATAATTGATTGTGATTAGTCAATTTCTTGCTTCTGACTTCTGATTTATTACTAATATCTTATTGTAAAAAGCCCTTTAAGTAATTTTATGTGTCATGGCCTTTATGCGTAATGTGTTATGCAAAAGTGTGTCCTACGGCACACAATTTTTAAGAAAAATTTTCTGGACCTAAGATAATTCTATCTTACAAAACATAACGTTATTTAAATAGAGTAATTTTTTCTTCAATACGATGATTTTATGTTAAATAAAATAATTTTATGTTAAAAAAAGATGATTTTATCTTAAATAAGACGATTTTATCTTAAAAAAAAACGATTTTATCTTTTAACACAAATAATTTTATCTTTTAACAAATAATTTTATCTTAAAAAAATGATTTTATCTTAAAAAAGATAAAATATAATTTTATCTTTTAACAGATAGTTTTATCTTTAAAAAGATAAAATCATTATAACAGATAATTTTATTTTAAAAAAGATGATTTTATCTTAAAAAAAATGATCTGTTAAAAGGTAAAATTATATTGTATCTTTTTTAAGATAAAATCGTCTTATTTAAAATAAAATCATCTTTTTTAACATAAAATTATTTTATTTAACATAAAATCATTGTATTGAAGAAAAAATTATTACGGATTACACCCGAATTAATTTTTGGAGGCCCGATTCAGTTCGCCAATCAACCGATAAACTCGGTTGAAAGGGACCGGCCCGGAAAAAATCCTTAGGTGGTGAGCGGATTCGAACTCGGGACCTCCAAGGTTCGCACAGCCCCTGCACTCAGGCTGCGAGACCACTGGGCCGGTTCTAAGATCTAAGATCTTCTTCTCTGCTGTAATGGCTCTTGGGCTGTGTTCAGTTAAGCAAGATGGAACGAACTAATGCAGGAAATGCAGGAAATACAGGAATTGGAACTAATGAAACTAATGAAACTAATGAAAGAAGTGAAAATAGTGAAAAAAAAGAAGGTTGGCTCCCCTGATCTG